AAATTAGCCCCACAAAGAAGAGCACTGACCACTTCACAGTTAGAGCTTCTTGCTATTTTGCTTGCTACACGGCTAGCGGAATCAATAGCCTGCCCTATTCGCTACGAGCTGCACGCGGTAAACATCGCAAGCGACAGTCTTATCGCATTGAGCTGGATACGTTCTTCGCGGAAGGTCCCGCTGTTCGTAGCCAATCAGAGAGACAGATAAAAACAATCATGAACAGATCGATCGCGTTCGGATGTCCATGTCATCTGTTTCACGTGCCAGGTGAAAAGAATCCAGCTGACGCAGGCACGCGCGGAGCCACAAGTTCACAACTCAAAAAGCTACAGTGGATCAATGGACCACAGGGGTTGCTTAACCAGAATGAGCGATCTTCACTCACAAACATCGAATCCATCCATCCATGGGACATTGATGTAGTAGAACAACAAGAGGTCGTGTTAACAGAGACACAATGCCATAGAAGAAATATTGAGGCCGAACCAAATCCAATAATAGATCTAAACCGTTTCAGCAGCTACAACAAAGCACTGCGAGTGCTAAGCTATGTCGGAAAATTCATAGCCCTAAAAGCAAAATCGTTCAAGGAAAAAGAAAACTAGCACTCAAATGAACATGCCCTCAAGTTTTCCACCACAATGGCAATTACTGCATCTGACTTGGATGAAGCAGAGCGTCTCTTGCTCAAACTAGAACACGAAAGTGTCAACCTAGAAGATTTTCAGAAACGTCATCGGGAAAAACGACCATCCCGTGACGAAAAGGGAATCATACGTTGTCGATCACGTTTGCAAAACGCTAATTTGCCATACGACACTCGTAACCCCATCTACATAGCGTCGCATTCAGAAATGATGCGACTGATCTTACTAGGTCTGCACAAAGACAATGCTCATTGTGGGAAACACCACTTACTAACACTAGCTCGCCAACGCTTTTGGATGAACAAACGATCTAAATGTCTTCTGTCAATAATGAAACACTGCGTTATATGTCAAAAAGCTCAAAGTCTTCAGTTTCAAGCACCTGAAATGGCAGACCAACCACAAGAGAGAGTTGTTCGAGCGAAGCCTTTTCAGAACACAGGATGTGATCTGCTAGGTCCATACATGTTGAATGACAACTCCAAAGTGTACGTCTGCATTTTCACATGTCTTACGACTAGAGCGCTTCATCTTGAAGTCGTCGAAAATCTATCAGCGGAAGCATTCCTTAGCAGATTCGTGCGCTTCGTTTCGCGTAGAGGTGCTCCCAAAGTTATCAGAACAGATTGTTTAACAAATTTCTCACTAGGGCAAAACGTTATAGACACCTTGTTTTCATGCGATAATAATGAAGAAAACTCAATGATGAACTACTGCACTAGAAAAAAATCAAGTGGTTGTTCAATCCTCCCGGTGCCCCCTGGATGGGTGGTGTCTGGGAAAGACTAGTACAGTCGATAAAACTCGCTCTTCAAAAGAGCGTGGGGAGGAGAAAGCTATCCTTTAGCGATCTCATAGCAACAATAATAAGAATTGAGGCGACTCTGAACACAAGACCTTTGACCGTAATAAGCACGACGGATACTTGCGCATATCCACTGCGCCCCATAGATTTCCTAATGGGAAATGTCAGCTTCTCTCTCCCTCCCAGAAATCACTGTTCAAAACAAGAAGAACAAACGCTAGAGCGTTTCCTGAAGTGGGAGAGATAGTACTGATTGAGCAGGAGCTCCTGCCACGGGGCCATTGGCCAATCGGGAACGTTACAGAACTAGTGAAAAGCGTTGACGGTCTCTTCCGTTCGGCCATAATAAAACTATCTCATACAAGCTCAACTACTGAGCGTCCAATTACCAAATTATACCCGCTAGAACTCAGAAGCCATCCAAGTGAAAGCAAGCAAAAACAAACATTGAAAGCAGATGCAGAAAAAAAGCATACCTCCAACTGCTGAGAAAGGCAGCAAGCGTCGCACAGCTGGAAACACAAAGAAAGTAACACGCTCAACATTTGCACCGCAGCAAAAAATTCAGCCACCGCGATGTTCAAAAACCAAAGCCAATAAAGCATTGCGCCAGCTGGCACAAAATGAAGACGAAGAAAATGCCGAAGGAATGGAGAGGGAACTTTCTGTTCTTACTACAACTCGCGGAAAGAGTTATTCACCCACATTATTGATGTTAGCTATACTCTCACTTGTTAAGAGTATGGACGCAACTACAATCTATTGTAAAGAGGGAATGGTGAACATCTACCCCCCACCAACACCGTTCCAACTCTGTTTTGATGACAACTGTAGAACATTCGAAAGCAATCCATCAGTAATGCAGTATGAATTGGCGCCTCATCCCGTACGCCCGACTACAGGATAACATTGCAATCGGAAAAAGTCGTTGAGCAGCGCACTTGTGAAGCTACACGATTTTGTGACCACGCTGCCCACTTTCTGTCGAAAACCTTCATCGGTAATCCACACTGTTGGCCACTCGGAGCAATAGTATCAGTCGGAGTGGTATGTTACTGCGCAATTACTTTGGTACTACTGGGACTCTGGCTTCTACGAGGGAAGCGTAAAAAAGACAACACGATAATGTCGAACACAACAAACAGTTCGTTGTCGGTAATTACCACAGAAAGGCAAAATGCCCCCTTCTCGTTAGCCACCTTCCGACCTGCATCGCTAGCATCTACAACTCTGATACTTACCAGGAGAGGTCAACAGGTCAGCCTGGCCATTTCCAATGAGCTGCACACCGTTGTACGCGTCTTGGGACAGTGAACTCAAATCTACCTCCAGAATTTGCTGAACGATTCTCTGAACGGAGTTGTGGAGGGTCTTATCCCCGCGTGGTCGTTTCACATGCTATCGCGAGGAAACGTGGAAGCGTCTTTACATTTATGTATGTAGTCATGCTGAAACGTGGTCGTAGAGCGCAACGGGTAGGGAGCCGGTCTCTTAGGCGTGACGGCGTAGGATCGGTTCTCGGCGGGGTGTTTGTTTTTGCATTCGTCCAAGAACATGGACGACAGAGCTTCTAACATCTCTGTTCGCATGCACTACCCTATAAGGAAACTGCGACCAGTTTTTTTTCGAAAGTGTACACCCATTATGGCCAATAAGAGTGCTTGTGCTTGTACCCCTCGTAAAACGTGTCGCAAGGGTTTTTAGCAATGAAATACCATCACATTCATGTTCAGCGGGTTAAATTACCCCTGGGGACAATCTAGCCGAATCTGATTTTTCGACATCACTTCGAAAATGTGGGCTATTCCATGGGTAATGCGCCACAGATTGGAGCTCACCTACCATCGATGACTGGTTTCGGAATGAGATTTCCTCCCGATAGTCAAGAAAATGATGCAGACGGCACAAATAAGTAAGCAGGTACTGTTGTTTGCGAAAAGACACGACTGAAGAGTTATTTCAGTTTGAAGACTAATCATCACCAGTATGCTAGTCATAGTATCGCTGTTAGCCATCAGTCAACCATGACTATCCATACTCCATTTTTTCGAAGTTGTTTCAGAACCTCAGATTTTGCTAAGGTGACGTCTGTAGGGGTTATTTGACCCCCTGAACACGGATATGATACCTGTCTTGCGCGAGGAGCGCTGTGAGTCTCGCTACAGGTGCCAACGCTTCTACACCAGCGCACCCGGAAGTAGAAAAACAGTAAAGAAAAACCCCTCTAACTCCGCCCAGAGAATCGTTCCGCAAATTTTAAAGACAGTTTTGAGTTCATCGTCTCAAGACGGGTACAACGATGTGCATCTCATTGCAAATGGCCAGGCTGACCCGTTGACCATTCCTGGTTAGTTTCGCCATATCACTATTAGCCACATCAAGCTCAGGTTGTCAAAATGGCTACATGAGACACTCCATCGACCTCGTCTGCTCGGAGCGAAGTGAGTGTCACTACGAGTATAGGCGAGAGGTACTCTTCAATGACATCCACACTAGCCTATGCATACAATTGCGCCATCGAAACGTAAGCGTTGGTCTCATACAATAGAGCGCGTTTCAGAAGTTTTATCATGTGAGAAAATCGACTTCTTTTGGACCAGAGAAACATACCATCGAATGGACTGTGTTACAAGATGGCCTGGAATGGGATCTTGTCGTAGTGACAGATGTGAATCCATGAAATCCACCGAAATAATTCCTGAGTTGAACGATAGCGCTCCTTACCCAGGATATTGTTCGTGTTCTACACAATGCAGCGGCATCAGATGCATGTGCATAATCCCTTGGATTGCTCCATGGCGAGCTTGTACCTCCTATCGCATCTCGCATATTCCAACGACTTCTCAAGCATACGAAGTCTTCGAATGTGCTGCGTGGAAACCAACAGTCACGCTCAACGTTACAGTAGAATTCTATAATATCAGAGAAAGTGGCTTCATTTCATTGCACCATACTACACAAAGGAATTCGCACAATTCAACTCCACCGTAATTTCGGTACAGACATCCCAAATTGCCCTCCATCAAAAATACGCACAAGGAGACAATGAAACTCTTGTTATTCCAAACGAACACATTTTCCCCGTAATGTGCCAAAATTACGAGCAAGCGGTTTCCAACTTTTCGCAATATATCAACACACGTTACTGCGACTGCGAGGTTGGTAGCAGCATACCCACGTGTCGCTGTCCGTATAACACATTGGTAGAACTCCGTAGCAACAACGATTACATCTTATCGAAGTCAAATCCGCACATTACGGTATATGGCGCACAGAGAAAACTCTTTGCAAAATATAACAAAGGAGAAACAACAGTAGCAATCATTTCAACCACCAAACTAGAAAGCGCACATCTGAACATTGATTCACCGTGTTCAATGGATGTCAAAGAGTTGAAAGGATGCTATAATTGTGACCAAGGGAGTTCGCTCGAAATCGCATGTCAAGCGAGCAGTGTCTCATGGGCAACAATTGACTGCATGAACAACATATTCTCAATCAGATGTAGTCCCAGTACTACAATAACGTCTGTCAAGCTAGCATTCGATAGAGCTGTAATAGACGGCTATTGCCGCACAAACTGCGGCGGCAAAAATGTAACAACAAAACTGCGCGGTATACTTCGCTATGTTACCCACTCTGGCGAAGCGGATATCTTCCTCAGAGCCACATCCACCAATGTGCCACAGCTTGACTGGCTACGCGATTTTCATCTACCGGACATGTCCCCCATGTGGATGATCTTGTTTGGGCATTGGAAAGTCACTCTCGGAACCATAATAACTTTGGTGTTGCTTATCATACTCACCTATCTTTTTGGTCCGGCGATATTACTAGCTCTGGTTAAAATGATAGCTGCAATCACTATTTCTCTCGGCAAATTGGCCGTTCACTTCCTAGAGCTCACCGTATCATCACTTCGAACTACAGTACACCATGTCAAAACAGATATACAAGCATAAGAAGCTCTTTGGTCAGATGCATGAGGCCGCAGCTGTATCTAAGCTTCCTTCGCTCACAGTCCTTCCTTCCACTTATTCATGGCACACGATATCGACAGAGAGTTGCAGCTCATGGAATACGACCGGCATGCCACTATGGAAGCCATCGGCAATGTTCAATGATAGCTGAAATCAAGGAAGAGGTCCGTGCTCTGTTGGATCGTTGTGCACCTAAATCTCCATGTGCCTTTTGTTCGCTTATGGAAAATGTGGACGGTCACCTCACTCCCCGTTGCCACCGTTATCCTGACCCAGTGAGTCGAGCAATGAGGGTGGCAGAACTCCGATTGTGTGGTCGATGTTTACGTCCCGACCACGGCGCAGCAGACTGCACAATGACGTGCAAAAACTGCCGCGGAACTCATAATACAGTTCTGTGCTCCGGACCTTCCTCTAAAAGGCGCAAATTCTGACTACATTCGTGTGGTCTGAGTTTGCCACTTTCACCGTTCGCCGCTCGTCAGATTCTGCTGTTTCCTTCCCTACTCATATTCATGCGTTACTATATTTGTCACCCGTCCCTACGCCCTCGCCCCTTCCCGTCCGTTCCTCCTGGTTCATTCGTTACTACATGTCGCTTCTGATGACGACAACTAACAATTCGACTCTAGTAGACGCCCCTGCCTGATCGCACCCATTCTGGCCCTTCTGCTACTCGTCACCTTCAAGATTCCATTCATCGCCTCGCCACAGAGCACGTCTTAATACCGAGCTGGTTTAATCTCTGTTAGTCACACTCTGCCTTACGTCAGTTGCTTCGTTTCTACCAATATTCGCTAGTAGACGGACATGACGTGACGATATTCTGCCATGCGTGCTGGCTTATGGAATCACATGGACCACTTATTTCCGAATATGTCGACTACGAACCTCGTACAAGGGCAAACACTCTAGCGGCGTCGAGAAAGTCAGTCAAGTGCCAGAGGAGCGTAAGAAGAAGATCGGTGCGAGTAATATTCTTATTGTGTCCACATCGCCTTTACTTTCCCACAGAAAATGGCAATTCATTATAGTTGTACTCGATTTCGAATGTCGCTTTGGATTTCCGCATTACTCAGCATGTACCATTTCTTATTATTCGGCATAAGCAATTCTACATTATTCGTTATCTGGTAGCTGTGCCTTATCGAGTATGCTATATACATATGCATTGTTCTGGTGGGCGCCGCAGTGTCGCATCGCGACGATGCCACTGCCGCACCGCGACGCGGGTATCTACGCCAATATAGCATTGCCACGCCCCCACAGCTGGCATTCTTCATGCTTCTGATAGACGAAGACGGCTGTCTTCATAGACGCAATAAATAATCACAGTTGAACCACCGTATCATAGCACAGCGGACTTCCGCGTCCCTGAGCAGGTGTTGCACAGCGATTTTCCTATAAAGGTACCCTTGTTAGGGTCCTATCAAGCTATAACATACCGACCTAAACGCCCACCACGCCCGCCCGCCCACAAATGAACGACCGTGCCTTATGCTCTTATTGCCTCATTTGTTAAGCAAAATATAAAGCGAATGGATTGGTATGAAGCGGCTGCGGTGCTGAATGGATATAAGAGTAACACATGCAGCCGTACCTACCATAGCGGTTATTCGCAATATGCCTACGGGAAACTCGTCCGAAAATGCTACTCAAAAGCGAAGGCTTTTCTTCACAGTTTTCCACCGTTTTACTTCGTTTTTTTTCGCTATTTTCTCGCTGGATAGCGCCCTGCTAGCATTCTAGATTAAGTACGAAATTGTCGTGCGAACTGCCTTTAATCCACGCGTCATGTGTACGTGTAGCAAGTATACGAATAAGGCCTCACCTGACATTCCGAAAACAAACTCTACACTGGACCCCCAATAACGGTGCCTCGCATATGCAAGGTGGACAGGTTCGCAGCTGCAGCATTGCACTACTTTCTACGGTCGAAAGTGCACGAGGATAGGTTTGGAAAATAGTGGTACCCGGGTATTGCCTCCATACCAGGTCGAGCATAATTTTAAGGAAAATTCTTCTAATGGTTCGGCCTCTTAGCATGTGGGTGTCGATACGACCTGCCCTTTATTGAGCGAAGAGAGTGAAATTCCCCTTCAGAGGGTGATAGATAGTTGTTTTTCCTTCAACTGCGTTGTAGCGGCATTGTAGCGCGCAACTTTCGTCACAAACAACACTCAGAATATCAGCCGCTCAGGTTCCCCCCTACTCAAGGATGATAACTCAAGCACGTTGGTTTCCAATCCTACAAAGGCCACAGTTCCTGTGATACAACAATTTGACGCTCATTAAAGGGACATAAGTTCATCTACACATAATTACAGAAAAGTGGTAGGAACTGCTGGAGAGCACGAGATTCAAGTTTCTTAACTTTATAAAATGTTTGTTATTCTCGGCAAATCTGGTGATTCACAAGACCATTCCTTTGACGATGCTTTCAACCCCTATCACCGCAGCGTTCTCACAGCTTTCTTGAATGCTGACCCATTGAAGATTTCTCACTAGGGAAGGTCGTCAGGTCGAAGTGGCCATTTGTAATGACATGTAGCTCACTAGACGTGCTTTTGGGCGCTGATCTCGAATCTGTCTTTGAAATTTGCAGAATGATTCTCTGAACGGAGTTATGGAGCTTTTTCCACCGCGTTTACCACGCAACAGGTCGTGGGATCGGATCCCTGCTGAGCTTAACTTTTTTGCTTCTAGTGTCAACGTGGCAAAAAGTGGTTGTATCGTCACTACTACATTAGCGCTCTAATAGACTTGCCTGAAAAACAGTTTGTGTTCGCTTACTGCCGCGCTTAGTGCCTTATGATCTAGGAGATGTGCAGGTGCCCTTGGCGCGGAGTGCAGGCGTTTTCGCGCTGAGCGAGTGCCATGTTCGTGTTTAATGGGGCGAGCTACGCCTAGGCAGAGGTTCCTAGCTAAATCTGGCATTTCGACCTGACTTCGAAAAGTGAGACATCCATGGGTCAGTTCAATTGATGTTAACACCTATTCAGCTGCAGATACATTCTCCTGCACAAATACCCGTCTCCCCTCTTCTTACGCATTCATTTTAAAACTGTTTTAGCTTTCCTGGATCTGAAAGCAAGTTCTGTCCAAAGACAAGCAATCGACAAGAGACTGGCCCTGGAACTGTTGGTGACCATCATTCGATCAACTGCTACCTCACTTTTCAAAGTTGGGTCAAAACCTCACATCTGGCTAGAAACCTGTCCCTAAGGGTAGTTTTGCTTCCTGAAAACGTATATGGCACCCATTTGGCGTTTGAGTGATTCCTAAACTTAAAAGAGACATTCCCCACAAAATGCAAAACGAGACACCTTCCAGAAATCCGAACCCTTCATACTACACCCGTGAAGCAAGACCAATACCACTACGCCATGCCACCGTCGAAAGTTCCGATGCTTCCCGGCTATTCATGCAAATTGGCCGGCGACCGCGCTCGACTCTGTTTCCTTCGTTTTACTCTAACAAACCTTCATAACTCCGTTCAGAGAATCGTTCTGCAAATTTCGAAGGCAGATTCGAGATCAGCGTCCAAAACCACGCCTAGTGAGCTACATCTCCTTACAAATGGCCACTTCGACCTGACGACCTTCCCTAGTCAGCGTATGCTTGATTCTGCTCCATACTTTGCTCGCGCTATTCTCTATGTGCGGCATTTGCGTCGTTACTGAGATACAGCATTGTAACGCACATTAAGCGGTAGAGAACAAGAGCGAGAGGGTGCATACAATGAGCGGGCTAGGCGTGGACTGGGTGGGCAGCAGCGCGGACAGAGTATGGAAACGGGGCTGTATCGCTACCCTTCAGCCAAGTTACCGTGACCTTTTGTTCATAGGAAGTGTCAATCTGCTGCAAGCGTTATCTCTTACAGTGTAAGTGCAGGGAATCACAGAGATGAATGCACGTTTTATTCTCAAAGACTGGACCAGTGTAAGCAACGCAGCTCTGGCCCTTACAAGGGAAGGATGGTAGGTCGAAGTGGCCATTTGAAATGAAATGTATACCGGGTCTTCGGACGGGAATTACGAAAGCGTCTTCCATATCTGCTGCGGACCTCCCAGAACGAAGTTACGGAGCTTTTTTGGGGAAAATACACTACAAATTGACGGGGTAAGGCTGACGAGATCGTGGCAGCATGGCCGAGTGGATACGTCGTAGGGCTCACGGATGCGTGGTCGAGGGTTTGAATCCTTGATGCGTGTGCTCTTTTGCATTTTTTCGAAAGTGGCCCCTGTGCACTTCAAAGCTATTTTGTATAACTCTGGTGCCTGATAATGTCGTGAAATAGTGTTTCTGAACTGATGGAGCCATTGCGAACCATACCATAGAGATCACTTCTGGCTGTTGTCTTCTTCTTTTTTTGATTTGAAAAGCATACACAACAAAAGTGCATTCCAAAGGAAGATTTTGCCTTCGAATGACTTTATTCTCCAAACGACATGACTAAAACGAATCCGTACGCACGAAGTTGTGCACGAAGATGAGTGTAGTGGGAAAACGCTTCCATATGATGTGGCGTTGATGTGACAAACATGCTGCTGAAGATCGCGATGAGCAAGAACTTCATTTACCACTCACATAATGTTGAATTATGTCTATCTCAAAGTGTTTTCGTATCTGCTGGAAGTTTTCGGCTCGTATGACAATCTCTTCAGCCGGAGGTGATCGCCATGAAATTGTTCGCAATGGCTCGATCAGTTCAGAAACACTATTTCACGACATTATCAGGCACTAGAGTTATACAAAATAGCTTTGAAGTGCACAGGGGCCACTTTCGAAAAAATGCAAAAGCACACACGCATCAAGGATCCAAACCCTCAACCTCGCATCCGTGAGCCCTACCACGTATCTACTCGGCCATGCTGCCACGATCTCGTCAGTCTTACTCCGCCAATTTGTAGTGTATCCTCCCCCAAAAAAGCTTCGTGACTTCGTTCTGGGAGGTTCGCAGCAGATATGGAAGACGGTTT